GTGTGTGTGTGTGTGTGTGTGTGTGTGTGTGTGTGTGTGTGTGTGTTTATATGTTATATATTTATGTATATATAAGAAAATTCACACAATTATTTCAGTTTATAACTCCATTACTAAGCAGTTATAAAAAATGTCAAAGAAAGATGAGTGGTTCAAAGAGAAAATAATTATATTCGTAGGAGCATGTTTTTTTTATAAGTACAATAATGCATGTACAATGAAAAATTGCATTACTTTTTTAAATAAAAATGCAAACGTTTCTTACACAGATAGATTCCTCTCGTCATTTTATATAAAAAAGTGTGCTAAAAAATTATATATTGAGATATTTTTAAAAAATGTTTATAAAGATATAGTAAGATAGACATTCAGACCGTCATCAAACATCGCGGCAATTGATTTATAAATCAAATAACAATTCGTATAAATATGATGCATTTACAAATTATAAGAGAAAAGTTCTAAAACTATTAATAAGAAACGAAAATAACACAGTGAATGTATTAACATAGTGTGTGTAGAATAGAAATTACATTTCTAAAATGTTTACAATGTAATGGAGAAGTGTTTGATAACGGTAGAAAAATTATTAGTTATTGAGATATTTTTAAAAAAATGTATATGAGTGATTATACTATACATTTTTTAAATAAATTTTCTACCGTTATATTTCAATACTTGACGAGAAGGATCTCTAGAAAAAGTTTGCACTTCCATTTAAACAAAAATTATGCAATTGTTCATTGTATGGTATCATTGCACTTACAAATAAAAACACAATCTTACAGATATAGTTTTTTTTAAACCATTCATTTTTTTCATTTGACATTTTTCTGTCAACTACATTGTTGACGAGGTTATTACATAAACCAATTGCAATTGAACTAACGTGTATAGTAAGTTCTAAGTAAGTTGCAAAAGTTCGATCAGGCACGTTTTAATACGGCATATTTCAAGCATATGCCGAACAGGATTCTCACAAGAATATTTTGACTGAAGCGATAGAGTGAGTGGCTTGTCAAAATGTGGTTAAATGGCCGAATGTGAATTGATGTGAACTGATAGTATTAATACTACATTATTTTTGTCTAAATCGAATCTTTCCCTGTGATTAATGGTAAATACTATTTTTTATCTGAAGCGAATTGTTCCGTTATGTTCCACCTTTAGGATTTTTCTAATAATAATGGATGTCAGTTATGCATCATCCTTTTCGTTGTTTCTCCACACTACTTGAGCTCTGAGCTTCAGATATATGAACTCATAATTCATTAATTTCCCTTATCCTCATTTATTATCTCCTGTTATTCAAACAAATAAGGCATAAAGGAAGCTAGTGAGCCTCTATTTTTGAAGGGATACTTTTAGATTGAGGTACTTGTATCGTCAATATAGGTATCGTGATATATGTATGAAATGCATGTTGGAAATGAAAACACTAGTATTAGTACTTTATTAATCTTACGTACTTGGTATTGTAAATAAAGTTAAAAAATAAAAATTTAGGATAATGAATCATTTCAATTTATTATTTTTATTTCAAAAACAATATAGGAAAAGTAATTTTATTTTACGTCCGAATCAATGATTTTTTATTTGAATTAATTCACCGAAATAAAATAACAAATAATTGCAGTATAAAGTGTAAACAGAATCAGAAACTACTTAAAAAATTATTTGTAAAAATGAATTTTGAAATACAAAATAAAATAAAAAATTTTTTATTTGATAGCTAAATAATAAAATAATTTTAAGAAAAACCATTTCTTGTTTTATTTCTTGTATTATTTCAAAATAACATCAAGCCAAATAAAATATATTATTAAAATAATATTTTTCAAATATTTTATTCAAATAATGTTCAAGTCTGTCTTTACCTGATGCTCTAAATTCTTACATCAATGACATTATACTATACGAAAAATATTGCCGGCAGCTGAAAATTTCGGAATATATGAAACGAATATCACGATATTCTATCTTGAATTGTACAATTCAGTATCCATCATACATATATCGCGATACAAGTATTTTTGTCTGAAAGCAGTTTTAAAAATAATGCACACCATCTTTGAAAAATTTTTGAGTGCAAAAATTTAAATATAAACTCTGCATTATAACTACTATCAGGTTTTACCAAATCAAATATATCCATTCCATATAACTACAATACATTAAATGTTAAGTTTCACACATACACATATATATTACATGTTATTAATTAAGTTATTAGTTATTGTCAATTAGAAGTAATATAAGTTATTTGATTTACGAATTTAAATTCGTAAGAAATCATGAAATCAAGAAATGTAGATCATTATATGCACGGTGTTCTACGTATTTATTATTAAAAAAATACGTGGATAACTTATTTATTACTAAAAATACTTCTGTTTCGATGGTAAGATGTTATGATCTGGACTAGATTTATCTAGGTAAAGACGTTTCCGAAATCTCAAGGTCATCATAATTTTTTTAAGTGGAAAATTACATTAATAGATGTAGCTCGACATTATAAAAAAAAAAGTATTAACCTATATATCGAAAATATCTATCAAGAAATCATTAGTTTAGGATACTTTAACTTTAATTTTATAAAATCTATATATGAAACACGAGGATATATGAGATACAAGAATATTTCAGAATATGACAGATTTTACAGAATTGAAGTTAAAATATTTTTCCTAAATTAATAATTTTTCGACATACATAGATTACTACGTATTTTTTTAATAGAAAATGTTGAGTTTTATGTTGAGTTAACGCACAAAAAAATATAGTTTTTCTAGAACTAAGCGATCTTGAAATCTTAAAAACGTCGGAAACAAATCTAGTGGTTATTACATGTCTTTCTTGAAACACAGTAAGTTTTACTTGAAATATTTTTTACAATACTTTAGAAGATAATTGCATGTAAAGGTTCAAATTTACACTTTACATATTCAATGTTTACTGTTTATAATAAAGATTATTAAAAAAATAAAATATATATCGGTAATCTCAATTTTGATCTTTCTTCATTCTTAAAAAAATTAAAATTTTATACCAAATTTAACCCCTTACTTCACTCTCTATACTTAATTCATATTCATAACATATAAATATATTAATGAGATATATTAAATGAGATATAAATTAAATAAAATAATAAATATATAAAAAAACAGAGCCGATTTCAATGACCATAAAATGTGTTTTCAAGTTTTCTGCCTCTCTTATTCACGCTTTCACTTCATGTTCATAATACATAAATATTGTTTATTGCGCGAAAAATTATGTATTTTTGCATAACTTTCTTTGATAATAACTTCTTAATAAACTGTGATTACCAGCTAAAATCTTCAGTACACTACTTACAGTACAATTAGAGTAATTTTAACACTAATTTTAACATGTTAAAAAAATTATCAAAATCAAAAATAACTTCTTTTTTGTAAATAATTATCTTTAATTTAAGAGAAAATCTTTATAAATATTCAGCACTTAATATACATAGTGGTAAACATATTTTTGCGAATATCTCAGGAACTAAAAGAGATCGTTTATTATATATTATATATGAAAAAGTTATTTAGAATGATAATCTTGATAATATATTTCAAAGTCATCAAAACAGAACATGACTTCCTTTTTCTGTATAATTATTTACTATTTATATCGAAATTCGATAATATTTAAATAAATATAATCATTCAATATTTCAATAAAATTTAGCCGAGCATGATTACTTATAGTGAACAATGCATTATAATTTTCAGAAACATCTAACATATAACATTTAAAGGTTTAATTAAATATGTTTATAAATGTACATACCAGCAGGACAAAATCGACCTTCTGGCCCAGCAAATATCGCTAAATTTCTTTCTACTGGTAAAGCATCATTAACTAAAGTAAGATGTGGAGGTTGATCAGCTTCGTGATTTGTACCAGTAAGTGCCACTGAAGATAGTAAATCAAAAGATATTTCATTATCTGGCTTTGGATATTCTACTGGACTACATTCCGATGCTAGTTTCAACTTTCTATAATCTGGACCTAGAAATTATTATTAGTGACAATTTCTATTTTCTTATTGAATTTTATTACAAATTAATTTACCTCCATGAGACAAAGTCCATGGTTCTCTTCCTCCGATCATCATTGAAAATCCAGAATATAGCAGACCCCCATAAATACCAAACCGAGTATGAAAACTTGGTCTTATATTCCTTACAGCCTTTAGTTCTTTATAAATCCAACTATTTTGTATTTTATCAGTATAAGATTTTGGTTCTAAACCTTTTGTTTGCGATGAATTACTTTCTGCATCAATTATAGCCTCAATTACACTTTCTGCCGCTAGCATCCCACTCTTCATGGCATTATGTGTTCCTTTAATTTTAGGAACATTAAGAAATCCTGCTGTACAACCAATAAGACAACCACCAGGAAATTGAAGCTTAGGAATAGATTGAAAACCTCCTTCTGCTATAGCTCTTGCACCATATGCAATTCTAAAATGAAAACAAAATTTAAAATAAAAATTCTTTTGAAAATATAAATTTATTTGTAACAAAGTCTTACCTCTTCCCACCTTCAAGTATTGGTTTAATACTTGGATGTTGTTTAAATCTCTGGAATTCTTTAAATGGATGTAAGTAAGGATTAGAATAATCTAAACCAACAACGAAACCAATAGCAATAAGTGGTGTATCTTCATTAAGATGATATAAAAAGGATCCACCATAAGTATCTTTTTCCAGTGGCCAACCAATAGTATGTTCAACGGTACCAGGTCTATGTTTTTTGGGATTAATTTCCCAAATCTAATAACATTGACATTTATTTTATACTTTTCAAATTTTATTAAAATCTATTCAAATTTATATTTAATGATAATTACCTCTTTTAATCCTATACCATAAGTCTGTGGTTCACAATCTTTTCTAAGATTTAATTTCTTTGAAATCTGTTTTGTAAGATGACCATGACAACCTTCTGCAAAAATTGTACACTTTGCATGTAATTCCATTCCACGTTCAAAAGTATTCTTTGGTGAACCATCTTTAGCAATACCAACATCATTTGTAGCTATTCCTTTAATAGATCCATCTTCATGATAAAGTACTTCTGCACCAGCATATCCAGGGTATAATTCGACACCTGCAGCTTCAGCTTGTTCACTAAGCCAGACTACAACATGACCTAATCTAAAATAAGTAATTAGGAGAATAATATTCAAAATATTAATAAAATTAATTTTATTATATTACAGTTCCTTACCTAACAATGTAGTTCCCGTGATTATATAATGGCATTCCTTTTAAAATAGGTATTGGTATTCTGCCTTTTTCAGTGAGAAATGCAAATTTATCTTCTGTCACAGAAGTGTTTAACGGTGCACCTAATTCCTTCCAATTTGGAAATAATTCGTTTAAAGCTACTGGATCTAAACAAGCTCCACTAAGAATATGACCACCAATAGTAGAAGCCTTTTCAACAAGTGTAACTCGCAATTCCTTTCCATGCTTTTTTGCTAATTTACGTGCTTGAATTGCAGCAGATAACCCAGCTGGACCACCTCCCACAATTAAAATATCTGTTTCATCTACATATCTTTCCATATTTACATCTACAAATCATATTTATTTTAATTATACATATAATATATAGTATATGATATTAATTTTTTATATTAAGATATATTTTTTATATTTATAAATTTAACCTTTCCATCTTGGATCTGATTCTCTGGGTACAATAGTGTAGTGAGTTGTAATTTTTGGAAATTTTTCTTGTGAATAAGCTCTTTGAAATATCCATTGCAATCTCTGTACTGCCAAGTATAATTAAATATATTAGTCATATTTGATATTTTTGCTTACAATTAAATTTTGCTCACAATTTTTTTTATACATATTTATTTTTATACATGTTTATTTTTATACATATGTGTCACAAATTATTTTTATATTTATCATCTATAATAGTTTCATATAATATAATATCACATATAATTATATATATGTACTAAATATATATAATATATATATATAATATAATTTGTAATTAAATACAACATTTAATACCAATAAAAATGTAACATATTATGATAACAGCAATAAACAATTAAAAATAACCTAACAATATACATTTGCGGATTTTTCTTCAATATACATTTTTGCTTATGCTTTTATGTTTATTATTAATATATATAATATATATATAATATAATTTGTAATTAAATACTTATAATATTTAATACCAATAAAAATGTAACATATTATGATAACAGCAATAAACAGTTGAAAATAACCTAACAATATACGTTTGAGGATTTGTCTTCAATATACATTTTTACTTGTGCTTTTATGTTTATTATTAATATAATATTATTATATAATATTTTGTAATTAATATAATGAACTGAAACTATTTTATATATATACAATATATGACACAATATATATATATAAGAACAAAGTTCATTCACTATCAGATAATAACGTATATATTTTATATATTTTATAATCGTAATTATAATAAATAAAATTAATTTTTATATATTTTGTAAAATTTAACAATATGATAACATTTTATTTATTTAATAACATAAACCATATATAATTTAAAGAATTCTAGTTCGGAGAATCTCAAAAGAACCTCTAAAGAACATCAGTTTTTTAAATTCATATTCTCTTCTTTCGATGATGTATAAAATTAATAACAAAGAAAAATTTTTTAAAAATAGTAAAAAAGATAGCATACTGCAATAACATATTACAACTTACTACTTGACGCCTTATATATCACTCGAGACATAATTATAATAGATATTACAGTACAATGATCAACTGCTGCTACAAATGTGTGCTAAAATCAGTCATTAAAATTGGAATCATGATTCTATCACAAACACTTACAAAATGAACATTGAACAAATGACATATAACACTTACAAGTCAAATATTAGACTTATCATTTATCACCACAGGCAAGATATAAGACCACTGATTAATAGGATAGACTGGACATCCAATGCTTTCTCGTGTTCTATGTTTTGAGGGTTACCTGACTTTACCATTTTCGTGTCACATCCTGTCATATCGACTTAGACGAGAGTGCATTATTTTTTAATGGACCTTTATAATTTTTTTTCGATTGAATTTTTTTACGTGTTTTTTTTTTAATAAAAAATAATTAAAGCATAATATTAAAAAGAAAATAATATTTCCTAAAATGTTTTAAATTTTATACAGGACGCAACTTTCAAATGAAAATATATTTGCTGTATTTTTGTTTTTATAAAGAAAATGTTCAAGATGAAGTTGCACTATTTTAAAACACACATTCATTGAAAGTGGAAAGAATTTTTTTTCAAGATCATTTAAAAAAGAAAATAATGGAACTCTTTGTTGATTCTTATGAGGCATCAAAATTAAAATTTAATCATCCGAATAGCTATTTGGTCTCAATCATTTCAAGAAGAGAAGATTTTTTCAGAATGAAACGTTTATTAAAAAGATTGAACTTCATGTTCAAACAGTACGAATTGTATGTATTGTAGTCAAGCGAACACTATAATCTGGTATTAATTGTGCGAGAATTGATATAAAATATAAAATAGATTTGTAGAATGATTTCGTAAGATAAATTATATAATTGTCATATATTTGAAAGAATTGCGGTTCGTCCAAATCGTTTGAGAATTCGGATTGAATTGCCCGTTCAGTCCCTCCTGCTGATTATCGTTTTGTTTGACCACAGACGAGATATATGAATAGATATTGCATGACCATTGTATTTTCGCGGCCATGGTAATAAGGCCGAGATAACCTTACCATTTTTGTGTCACATCCTGTTGTACCGATTTTGCGACCGCAGCACTACTAGTGGGAAAAATTAAAATTAAAATTAAAGAAATATGAACAAAGTTGCCAGACTTATACCAACGTTTTTTTTCGACAATTCCGCGGCACACCACAAGTAAAAGCTTGCAACTACATAAATTACAATGATATGTATATGTTTTTATTAGATAAAAAACACAATAAAATATCTCTATGTATGTAGATATTTATTTTTATTTAGTTTTATATAAAGCTATTTGAATTGTATAACAACACATTCCTCGTAAATACTTGTCTATATTTTTAAGGGTAACAATAATATTACTTAAAAATGCGGTGTTCGATGGAACGACATCCTTATTCTTTCGCGTTCGGTTGACGACTGACTAACGATCGTCGGTTCGGTAGATAGAATAAAAGTGTGTCGACACTCGGACACAAAGGTGTCGACTCTCGAGCGATGAAATACGACCACCACTCACAATACATGAAAATGCGTACAATGCAACTACATGTTTATGTTTTGTGTATAATTTCGATTCAGAGAAATGACATATTGGCAAAAAGTTAGAGGAATATTTGACTTAGAGAAATTTCTAACTAATGTGGTGGTTGAAAATTAAATTATTCTCAAGAAAATTCTCGCAGCACAGTAGTGTGCCGCAACACAGCGGTTGCGGAGCACTGCGTTAAAAGAAGAAACTATTCAAAATACAAACTATTCACAATATAACTATTCACAATACGTTAAAAAATCACCGAAATCGGTGAGGAAGTAGTCTACACTTTGCCTTCGTAATGATAAAAGAAAAGCGAGTTAAAGGTACACAAACAAGTTTCGGTTTTCCTAACGAAAGCATAGTTGCCAAGCCACTGACGAGATATATGAATAGACCAAGCATCTTATGGGGTTTCGTGGCCCGTGACCTGAAATATCGACATATTAAAAAATAACTGGTTTTTTTACCGCACTCTACGTTTAAACTATGGTAAATTGGGGAATTACATCAAATAAAACGATCAAAGTTGTTTAAGTAATGAATGCTCCAGCAACATGATTTTTGAGACCTATTATGGTGTTGTTACTTTCAATACCGAAATGTGAACTTAGTTATTAACCGAAATCATTCTATTGTATATTAGAAAGAGCTCTATCCATCTTTTACGGATCACAACTTTTTTCAATATATAGTAAATTTTAAAATTTTTAATAGATGGTTTTATGTATAAATGATTTATATTGTATTAAATATTCTTAAAAACAATTTTTAACCAAATAAATTTTCAACTATTTTAAATTATTATTAATCTTAAATTATT